AAAAAAAAAAATCAACAAATTAATGTAATTTTTTGATTAAATACTAAAATGCCATTAATTAACAATGTTGTGTAAATGATTTACTAAAAACTACAAAATGCTGTATGTATGTATGCATRTGTATCTAACTTTCACTGTGTATCTGTGTGTGTGTGTGTTTGTGTGAATGGGGTGGGTTCGTTTGGTTGGGATGTTTGTGATGTTGCTTGGGGGCTGGTGAGTGCTATCACAGGTATTTATATTTCATTTCATTTCATTTGCAAAAGTTGCTTTAACTTTTGGTTTAACCAGTTTATTGATGTTGCTTGATATAAATATGCATTGTTTAATATATTATATATGTTATTTATAATTGAATTTGCGACAATTCGTGACAGATTGAATACAATATCAAATTTGATGCGTGTGTGCGTGTACGTGTGCGTAAGCGAGTGTGCATGATGTCTTAATGACTATATTCCGCTACAAATATTTATATAGATATTAAATTCTTTTGCAAAGAGAGACAGAGAGAGAGTAAGAGACTAAGTGACTAAGTGGGCGTGGGGAGAGGGTACAAAAAAGCAGTGCGGCCTTTCAGGCGCTGCCCGAAATTGCGTCTGCACTTCGATTCTTGTATGGGGGCCTCGGGGTGGTTCGGGTCTTAGCTAATTCGTATTTTCAATGCCAGAAAATACAACTGCAGACAGGTGGCCAATAGGACAATCATATTGCCGATAGCAATGGTCATGTGTATGCGCCGGAATGCCTTGTGTATGCGCTGATAATGCGGACACTCGACCAGGTCGCCCTGGACCAGGCTGCCCACCTCCTGGCCGCTGCCGATTGCACCTTCAATTCTATACTTCTCGTGCATCAGCCGTAGCATGGGCGGGGCCAGATAGAGGCGCACCACCACCTCAATGGCGGCTGTCAGGCCCAAGGCGCTTATTTGGACGCTTGCTGCCGTTGTCCAACCGCTGAGGAAATATTTAACATAGATGATCAGCATGCTGATGCTCAGCATCGCGTTTAGTGCGAAATACTTGGGAAACAGGATCTGCTGGCACTGGCCAAAGGTGTGGCGCGGCAGCGAGAAATACAACGAGAGACCTGGTGAGAGAAAAAAGAGAAAAAAGAAGAGATTAGAATAAGTAACAAATATTGGATAAGTGCAATTATAATGCCTACGATTTGGATGACATTCAGTTTGACATTGGCATTGACATTGACATGGACATGGACATGGACACATTGGATGATTGATGGCAGATGGAGGGAGCAATAGTTGCAGCGACAGATACAGCAGTAGCAGAAGCAGCAGCAGCACAAGCAGCAGCGTTGGCAGCGACGCTTATGCTTATGATTGAGCAACTTACCAGAGACAAAGGTCATCCAGATTTGTGAGCCAAAGTGTGTGGCGAACGCGCCCAGATATGCTAAGGTTGCCAGCGTGCTGCCTCCCATTGGGGCGGCCATGTCGTTAGCATTGCGCGTCTGCGTCGTTGTTGGTGTTGTTGCATGTGTCGCTGCCGTTGCCAACGGGCTGCTGTGCATTGTCGTTGTAGTCGTTGTGAGATCGGGTCCAACGGTCAGTAGCACAAAGGATAATATGCAAATGGCTATAAAATGCGCCGGTTGCGTCGTACGCGTCAGGATTCTATAAATAGATACGGCGGGAGAGAGAGAGAAAATGAGACGGTTTAATATTATATCTATTATATCATATATATATTCAGATGTACATATATTCGCAATATACATATGTAAATGCATATAATGATATTTAGTCGTGTCCCGCCCCTACCTATTTTCGCTGTGATTAGATTCGCTTCGAACTTTCGCACTTGTCAATATATATGGCAACGGCACGAGCAGCAACAACAGCGACTAGCGTGTGCTTATCTAATGTCAAGTGCTTTGCACTGGCAGCGACGCGTCGCTCGCACATTGTACTCTCTGTCTTGTTGCTGCTTACGCATTTGCTGCGTTCCGTTGTGTCGCGTTACGTTGCGTTCTGCTGTCTGGGGTGCGATACGCGGCTGTCAGACTGCATTGCGTTACGTTGCGTCTGGTTTACACATTTTTGCATACGCTTTCGCATAGATCATGTGAATGTGACGTTTATCGACATCGCGTCGCGTCGGTCGCTGCTGTTGCTTTGTCGGCGGCGAATAGAGTCGAAAATGGCGTACGTGCAAAAAAGCATGCAACCAAATATTGTACATACCCATATATTTTTGTATTTTGCCATTTGCACAACAATAATTGGAGCGACAATGGTCACTAAATTTAATACAACAAATTTGCAAAACTATACACACACGTACACTTACAGAGCAGCGCGCACATGCATGCGCACACATGTGTCTGTGAAACTGTTTCTGTGTTTTCAAGCACCTGCATATGTTAAACGACAGCGACGGCAACCAGAGCAACCAGATAATATAACATTTGTCGCTGCCGATGTCGACGCACAGTTTCAATCAAAGCTGAGAGGGAATAAATCAGCTGTTCAATTGAACAGCTGCTCTCTAAGCTGACAATTCGATGCCGTCGTTCGTTTACGATAAGCTGCCAAACTCAGAAAGGTGACTCAGTATATTAACAACGCAGCATTAAAGTCGGCGTTGCCAACCACGCAGGTGAGCCACTGACATCGTCTGCGTCCGCGTCCGCGTCCGCGTCTGCGTCGACGGCGACATCGACATCGACATCGTGACGTTGACTGACCAAACGTCTCGCACTTTGTACTTGTGGGCGGGAATTCAATTGACTAGTTAGAGATACGTCAGAGCTGGCGTCATTAGGCAGGCTATTTTTCGGAAGCTTCCCTGCCGAATCGATCATCAGCAGAAATTAACGTTGAGTTTCAGTAGCAGTTAAAAGGGGGCGTTAGCAGTCGGTTAATGGCCTTCATTATTATTTATAAATCGAGTATGATAAAAATATCGCCATTTTAGGGGCTACTCTTACATATGTATATATGTATGTATATCAGGTTGATTCATTTAACAACGCTGCGTACCTTGGCTGGGACTTCAAGCTGTTCATTTCTTACTGCTTATCGGGTGCTATTTAAAAGCAGTTTTCATTCGCTTTGTGACAGATTTCATCAGAAATTCTGATGACACGTGACGTACCAAGATCCTCTTAACTTTAGTTAATTAAACTGCTCCAAATGATATACGTATATAGTAAATTGCCCGGTAGACAGATACATAGCTATAGCTGAACACGCGCAGCGCTTGTGCTCGTGAGAGCTTTTAAAATGCTAAATGTTTATTTCTAATTGCTCTGTCAGTGCCCCTCGTTACTCCTATTGACGCTTCCATAAGCTGTTTGCATAACGGTCAGCAAATGAAAACGAAAACAGCAATACCAATATTTGCACAGGCAGACGACGTCAAAGTGCAAAAAGAGAGGCGTGTTTTTCTGGAATAATGGACTGGGCGTAATCTTCTTTCGCGTGATTGACATGATCGAGTGCCGTGATAATGGCATTGATAAGCATACAGTGTCTACAACATAACATATGTAAGTATGTATGTATGTATTGATATGTGTGTATATTGTCATATGATGAAATTAGCATTAGAATGAAGATTTCAAATGAGACTCACGTGTACAGGCGGCTGGCTTGCAGTTGGCCGATCAGGCAATGACAGCGCTCAGCGAATTTGCGCGTCATTTGTGTGCCGATGGCTAGAGCATCGTCCATCGATGGCTCCATCGAGCTGAGTTTGCGCTGTTGTCGTGCTGTTAATGCAGTTGCTGCTGTTGTTGCTGGGGGGCTGCTTTGTGCAGAGCTGTTAGCATCTGACTCCTGTTGCTGTTGTTGCATTTTACGAAAACGTCCACAGAATTTGGGAATTTTCAAAATGTCGCTGAGGTTGCTCGTGTTGTTGTTATTGTTGCTGATGTTGGGCATGGCTGATACAATAGTTTCTACTGTTGCTATTACAATTTCTGCCGACGCTGCTGCTTTTGCTTCTGCTGTCTCTGTAACTATTTCTGTCGCTGTCATTTTCTCCTTCTTCAGCTGCACTATACGCGTGTGCTTGATGTCAACGTCAGTGCCGCTGTCGCTGTTACTGTTGCTGCTGCTGCTCTCCATGTCTTCGACATCGCTGTTATTTTGTGACTGTTGTTGTTGCTGTTTTTGCAGTTCTTTACGCTGCTGTTTTTCGCGCTTGCGCATCGTGTATTTCACGCTCCTGACGGCTTTCTGGGGCAGGCCGAAGGCCATGTACCGTTCGATCTGTTCACTTTCAATGCCCGAATTGTGGCACATGTTTGCATTTGTATGTTCTGCTTAACTGTTCTTTGCACTTCTTTTTTGTGTTGCTTTTTGCACCGTTTCAGTTACTTTTATTGTTACTTTTTCGATTGCTCTTGTTTGAGCTCGATTTTCTTGCACTCGAAAAAAAATTACAGTTGTTGTTGTTGATCTGCAAAGTTTTGATGAGTTTTAGGGGATTTTTCTTTGGGTTTCGTTGTAATTGTTTGAGTAGTAGTATTTCTTCTTCTTTTTGTTGTTGTTGGGTTAGTTAATTAGTAAATTTTTGTTGCTGTTTTGTACATAAGATTTAGTTCGCGCGTGGCTTGCAATGGTGCGGGTGGGGTTTAGGGGCTAGTGCTGCTACTACTGCTGCTGCTGCTGCTGCTGCGAAGTCTACGCGACGAGTTAATATGTGCGATTGAATGGCCAGCCAGCAGCGGCATTAGCTTTTATATAGCGCCTGCGCATGTGTGTGTGAGTCTGAGTTCTTGGACGTTGACGGCGAGCAGCGAGCTCTCTTCGGCTTTGAGGTAAATATCAACCACGACGACACTGTCGACGTCCGCAACGCTCCCACGCACTCGTCGTGCACTTGATCCACATAGCTGTAAAGTAATGTGCAAATGGGCGGGGCGGGAACAGCACTCGGTAGACAGCTGTTGCTCGTGCCAGATCGCGCTGCAAAGCCGAATTAGCCCTGGTGCAACACAGACAAAGAGTGAGCGAGACAATGAGAGCAAGAGAGCGATAGAGAGAAGCGAAATGGGAGAGCGAGTAGTGCTAAGAGCGTGAGCACCTGTTGCTCAGACGCTCTTAGTTATTCATCGAAGAGTAATTAAATGCTCCCCGTCACGCTGCGATCGTTATGTGCACTTTTATAGTCAACCCATCCCTGGGCTTGGCCCCCAAGACCCGCTCGGGGATGTGGACATGCTAACGTCTTGGCTGTAGTTAAGCGACTTCCCAGAGGGCGTCGTTCTCGCTTGTGTATTACTAATGTGCGCCACATGTGCGTAGTTTTACACTATCAGCATTTGGGGGCTGGGCAGCGCGGTGCTGAGGTAGGCGCCTTACATAACTCCAGGCAGACCCGTGAACGTTGTTTCTTCTGTTTACATTATTATCAGCTGCTCTTCGACATGTCACTTTTCCGTTGGAGATTAAAAAAACAATATAATATAAATTAAGTAAGAATGTTGCAGTCGGGCGGACCGACAGCGGAATACTCATTCATATCCCATCACCAATTCAGATGTTAAGTTTCGCTGTAATATATTTTGGTCAGTTCTTAGAACGGACCTAACGCTCCAAAATATGAGAATTACTGGGTATTTTTCGATATGCCATTCCCCTAAAGAGACGTAAAAATTATTTTTGGCGCATCGATAGAGGAGGTTACTAGTAACTTAACTATGTAAATTTGAAGCTTCTAGCTTCGCCACGCCCCTTGTGGACGGACATATATTCGTCTTATCTCATTGGTCTTGGGTAGTCAGCCCGAGTATATAGATATATCCGCCATAGCTCGTGATCTTGGGTGATCGGCGCGGACCTACATACCAAATTTCAGCTTTCTAGCTCTTCAGTTAATATAATTTATGGCATATTGGAAAATACATTTTCCGATTTGGTACGCCCCTAGAAGGCGGATCGGGAAAATTTTAACACTATAAATCGGAGATATACCCGACTATGTGTTTCAAATTTCAAGTCTCTAGCCTCAATAGCGCCGAAATAAACTGCGTTCATACGGAAAGGCGGGCAGACGAACAGACGGACGGTCATTACACAAAAACAATATACTCATTTCACTTTCGTGAATGAGTATAAAAATAAAATACACCAAAAATCTTTTGACGCTCTTTCTTTGACGTCATTGGGGATTTGGAAGTCACGGACAATGTTGACAATTTCGATGAGTAAGTGATCTTGAGTGAGTGTCAGTTTGTGGAGATCACCGCTCTGAAGATCAAACTGAAATCATTGCTTGAATAAATGAAGTTGAGACACAAATGATCTTTACTTGATTTAATACCAACTTTGCGAAGATATTTGTAAGATGAAAGTATGTACTAATGGAACGAATGAGGATCACTTCAGAGATAATGAAATGAGTAAAGTAAATGCAAATTTTTAATTACTTTATATGATATCTTATAGTACTAATTACGGAATGATCACTTCGCGCAATACCAATAGAGCTGAGGATCAATTTTATTCATAAGAAATCAGCGAGAATTCTTTTTCGAATCTTTATAGCTTTGTTTTTATATCAATGAACATACAATAAAAAGGTGTTAATGGTTAGCTAATTAAGATGCAGATCAGTTGAATTAATGATCAGTTATATAAAGCAAACACGAATTTGTTTTTCATATGATGTGAATATGTTCCATATTGATCACTGATCATTTCGCAGAATAGCCTTATTCAACATAGCTTCATTATACTTAACAACTGGATAGTGGTATCGGGACCACTATCCAGCTGTTAAGTATATTGAAGCTATGTAACATATAACCTATTTTTTAGCACAATAATTTTAGTTTGATTTTATGGTAAATATCAAAAACTTGAAGTTCAGTCATCAGCCGTGTAGCGGATAGCTGTATATTTGCTGATCGTGATAGGATATTTATTTTATGAGCGATCTTGACAATGGCATTTCGGTTTAGCCGATCGCCGCCTTTTCAATCCATTCATTATTTTGTTGCTTTTCGCTGACACACGGCAACCACGTGATATACTGCGAACGTGTGCCCCATGTAAAAGAGATTGAGTCGATATTATTGATTGAGCGCTTTCTATATATATATTCATCATTCGAATACCGCAGCGAAAACAAATTTGCTCATCTTGCTGCGCGGCCCGATAGCCGCATTTGGCGGTAAGGATTGTCGATGCTAATGAAGAGGCCGTCCATAGGCGGGCTTAGGATCGATTGTGGGGGGAGCTTTAGCACGTTGATCAATGGCAGTTGGCTATCCAAACTGCTGGTTATCTAATTGCCGTAAGTTCCGTTCTAGCCGATCATTTATCCATCGAGTTTGATCAGTGCGATCGAGCAACAACAATGACAATCTGTTGGACTACCAAAACGTCAGTGAGTCGTTTAGCCTAGCGTTTATAGCTCTCGGTAGGCATCATTTTGCATACAAACTTGTAATTAGAGACTGTTATGGACTCAATATGTATACTCGCATATATCCGACTGTATGATTTTGGGTATCGCATTTGTGTGTGTTTTTTTTTTTCCTTTCCGGCGCCTCATGGCAAACGGCGTTTGCATATCTAAAATTTCGCCCTATCATCGTGTGTCCAAAGATTTCGGTATTTTGGATGTTTTTTTGTTTTTTTTTTTTTTGTGGAAACTTTCCTCGTGCGTTGGTCGATCGTGCAGCTCCTAATGTGGAACTGTGTCTGGCGGGGCAACCTGAGACCAAAGTCTTTCGAATCTAGTGGAATTTGAACAGCATCAAAAAAATTTAACAAAGCATATAACAACAATTGGCCGTGATTATTAGATTTACTCAAACGTTTGTTATTATTTTTTTGCGATCTGCCCCTCTATGAGTTCGCCAATAGACTCGAGAGGGAATTTATGAATAAATTACGCATTTACTGAGTGCTGAATGTCGAATGTCACGTAAGGCCGCAAGAAATGGACCAAATATTTGTTTTAAGGTCAACGCCACGATTGGTTGTTAAGCGAAACATAAATAATACAAGGTTAACCAAATGGGTGTGCTCTATCTCAACATACCCTATTGATAATGAATCGAAATTTGACATTTTGAATTCTGATAGAATATTTCTAATCTGCTATGATTAATTAGCTGACCTCATTTTCAGTGGCTCGGTTCAGGGCTCACGCAAAATTGATTCGCGTCATGCGAAGGTTTCCTCGATTCTAAAAATTGTTTGCTAATATAACCTATTATAGTCGGTTTCCAAATGGGTTTTCAAACCAACAGTTCAATTCAGTTAATTATTTAATAAAACTCAAATTGACTAACATTTGATCAACTAGAACTATGTAGATCATATGAATGTTACAAGTAAGAAAGCTCTAGTCGAGACTGCTCGACTACGAGATCCTCTGAACCCTTCGAGCAATAGCTATTTCAATAATTTTTCGCGTCTTTCTGCTTACACAAGACACCCGCATACACACACACACACACACCCACGGCACCCATTATGAGAACTTACTTGTTTAATAATTTTTCTTGTGAACATACGATCTTCATGAAACTTTCAGATTACAATTATAACATTACATTTATTTGCCAAAGCACAAGTCTATAGTATTTGAAATACGCCTTTTACAAATATGTTGGTAAGGGGGTGGATATAGGGGTAGGGGGTGAATTCTAACAAATACCGAAATTGTATAAAATGCAGATAAATCTACATTAGGAGACCTGTAAGAGATATAATTTTATAACTGATTTTCGATATAAAAATAACGGGATGAGTTATCGATTTTTGGTGACAAACTCGATATCCGCGCTGTAATTACGAACATTTTAAAATAAATTCTCTAGCTCTTATATCTTCGGAAATCGACGCGTTCA